AATGGACTACGAAATAAACATCACGGAACTGGAGAAGGCCGCAACCATATAAATTGGGTATTATTTTACGAATTCGATTGCATCATCAAAAACAGATGTTTCCGTTTGCCAGGATACCTTCATTGATTCAGAATCCTCCTGCTGGAAACTCGGTCATTTCCCTCTCGCGGGTGCACCTTTCAACATTATTCAAACACAGTGTACTAGTGTGTATTTATGATTTATGTATTTCTTTCCTCGATTCCTCGATGGCATGCAGCATGTAAGATGGACACTGTTTGGGATACACACGCACACAGTACCTGAGCTTGAGAAACACTAAACCAGATTGTTCCAGTGGTAGGCAACAGTTGAAAGAGGGGACCAATGTTGATATCACGGAGAACCACCACCGTTCACATCAGCTGTCAGACCTGTCCTTGAAATCTGTCAGCAATTCCTGCAATTTGCACTTGCTCATTGTTTTCACAAGCTGGGACGTTAGATCTAACTGGCCAATATCAGCCGTTGGTAGTACTTTGCGCACTTTGAGTAGTTTGAATTGGACAACATGTACGGCAAGTTGGATGTTACCGGCCATGTGAAGGGAGAAGGTTGACAAAGGTGAGATGGATGATGATTAAAGTGGATCGTTCAGTACAGATGCTTTGAATCACCAGCCAAAACAGATGCTCTGAACTGAGTAGAGGAGTAGAAGATGAACTTGCTTGTATCCAGTATAGCAACAGTTTTCACCCAGAGAAGGATAGATTCACCATGCAATCTCACACCATTGTGGAACCTCCACACCAGCGAAATTTGTTTTTGCCAAGATGTTGGACAAGCTTGTGGAGATGTTTCCAGTCCAACTTCCCACCAAGGAGAGTGGCTTCATTTGCTGTGGAGTAAAGATATCATTTGTGCATTTCAGCTGCACTCCAACTTCAATCGGAGTTTTGTGGATGTTTTGTCATGTGCAGGAGACTGGCTTCCAAGGCGATAGTCTGTCGGAGCCATAGTGTCTCTAAAAACTTAAACGTTGGCTGGCAGAGTGGGCACAAGTTCAAAAAGAATCCTCGTGCTGCGGCAATTGCTAAGTATTTGGAGATGACGAGGGTGCCAAAACCTGGAGGTCTGGGTCCAGTAAGAGTTTTTCTGTTCATCGGTCATGGGAGCTTCCTGAGCATCGTGCTGGTGAGGAGGATGTCCGAGTCTGCGGTTTACATAAAGTGGCGACAAATTACCAAATCAAATATCAAACACATAACTCACATGACCAAGCGCATAAGAAAAAAGGCAAAATCGGTTCAGTTGAAACACGATTGAAACCCAAACAGCTGTGGCCGTCCTGGACAGAGGTGATTGCTTGCTTGGCCGGGTCTTCGATGACACGGAGGCACGGCGTTGGTAGGAGTGTTGCATGGCCAACGACTTGTACAGGATTTATTTTGGTCCCTTTGGCATTGGTCCTTACAACTATATCATACATTCCTAGCAAACAAGAGAACTTTGTATGTGTGTACTTTTGTACCAGAATGACTCTCCCAAGAATCTTAAAGGTCCTGATGTCCTCCACCAAAAAGCGTCCGGACCAATGGCGGCGTATGGACTTCTGTCTGAAGGCACAATGGAGGGAGCATCCAGTTGTTTGATGTTGTTTGCTTCCCCTTTCACGAAATTTGGAGGTGTTGTTGACTCCTGGCTCAACTCATGTGCATGACCACAGGCAACCAGCAAAAAACTTGGCATGACCCAACGTGCAGAATCACCAAATGCACTTTGCAAAATGACTGCACTTTTACACATGTATGGCTCATGTGCCAAACATTTCGCTTTCTTGCAGTACTTTTGCCCGGGCCATGCCTTGCTTTATGTTGCTTGGAAAAGCCCTGGATTTTACTTCTCGGACTCTCGTGTGTTTTTGAATGTGCTCTAACGAAGGGGAGAGTGCCAGAAAACTGTCAAGGATTGCCAAAGCAAGTGTGCCCACTTTATGCGAACAGATACGGTACCTTACGTTTACTTCTCGTGGCGCCCTTGCACATGCGAAAAACAAACACATTTGCCACAAAACGGGACACAAGTGGTACACATTTTGTTTTTGTGACCTTTTGCGTTTTTTTTCTGCCTGTTTTCTGTCTGGGTTCGCACGACATGATTGGGATTGTTCCGGGCTCATTTTGGCAAGTTTCAGTGAAAATCTGTCAAACATTGCCCCTGAGATTGCAAAGAAATTTATATGCAGCTAGATGGTAAAGGGTGCTGGAGAATCAGCAGGGGAAGCTGGTGAACGTCATGGACATTTTATTTCTTGGGTCAACTGTCTCAACAAGCAGGAATACCATGGAATACCTAGATCACTTTCTAGCCTGATTACTATCCATCAAATTTCTGCACACCTGGCAGAGGGCAGATCCACCTTTCCAAACTGTGGATTGCCGCGGACGTTTGGTTTTAGCTATTGAAAATGGCCCAGTCGAAATAGTGGATTTACCCATTTTCATAGCATGGTGATTTCCATAGTGGTTTGTACGTTTACCAGAGGGTAACACACTTGGCAGGTGGATCTTTTGGAACTCCTCTGATCGAATGGTTGTACTCACCGCCGGTAAGATGCTGAGAATGGGAAGGATCAAACGGGGGAAGTCGCCAAGGGAAGGATCACAAGTGATTTTCGATGACTGCGATCAAGTGGTAATAGTCTGTAGATGTCTGTAGATGTCTGTAGTCGTCTGTAGTCTGTTTCAGTCCCAAACGTGGTAATAGTCTGTTGATGCCCAAACTTCCCAGTTCCATCCAATGCCTTCATGGTTCCAGGGCAAGAAGGACTTCTGGATCGCTGGCAACCGAGGAGGAAAGAGCCATTGGAGGCCTGACACTGGAACTATCCAACCTGAATGGACATAGAGATTCCGCCGAAATACTGTAAAAAGAAAAAAATAACAATTATTAATAGACAATTTCAGCGTGTTTCTGGCACTTCTTTTTGCCATGTTTGCTATGTGTCAGCCGCAGGAACAATTTGGCAATCCGAGTGGATCGTCGACTTCCCAATCCGTGCCATATTTTGCGGAAGAGCACGTTTTTATTGAAGGTAAAAAGTCACTAAAATCCTTCCATTTTGCACCGATCTGATCCAGAGAATCTCCGGACCGAAGACCTCAGACAATCTCCAGGTTTTGCCTAGTTTTTTCCGCTGTTTTTGCTGTGAAGGACCCACAAGGTTGAGAATATGGTGAATACCAACTCGATTGTTCGATGTAAAGCACGGACCGAATCCCTTGCGTCAAAAAGTGAATAAGGGAATATCTGAGAGTCTGGGAGCGTGAATTTAGAATAAATTTCATTTCAGACTTGTGTTTGAGGGTGTTTCTAACTTTCTGGTGATTCTAGTGAATCCTTGGCGATGAAATTGACGCGTTGGAAGTGTTCTGAACATTCTGAATGGTGCGCAGTATCCATCGGAACATATTACAACGAGACGTGCGAGGCTGGACCATGCACTTTGCACCTGGCGAAGCCAAGAGGCTTTTTGAGGTAGTTGGTCGGGTGGGTCTTTGGCCATTTTCGTTCCTTTGCCAAAACGGGTAAAATATGGTTGCTATGCTTAGGACTATGCATTAAAGAGAAGTCTGTCTGCGCATGCGACGTTTCTCTCGTTCTGGATATATGTTTGATGCCACAGAGTTTGTAAAAGTAAGAGGGGGCTTACCAGTTTTGCATCATGGCAGCAGCAACAAACAATTTGGACTCCCCCTTTTGATGGACGGAACGCACCGAAAAACATTGAGACAGAACTTGGACAGGTGCTGAAGATTCAACGGGAGCCCCGAGTGCTGAAGAATTGGGGTACCGTGAGAAAAAATTGGACGCTGCGCTCCTCTGATCTTTGATAATGTTGGTTTTCTTGGATTTCAGACGAATGTTTTCTTCAGAGTTGGCCTCGGGACCTTGTGCTTTAGTTCGTGCAATGCACATCCTGCAGCCGCCATTGCTCAACAGGCCGGCGAAGAAACAAACTTGCAATCAGCACCACCATGATGATCCTGCTCGCGACCGCCTTGGGTGCAGCGTTCGGTTTCACCCTGCCGGACATCCCTGATATGCCCGATTTGGTTGAATCGGTGCAGAGCATGCTCAAATGGAATTTCACTGAGGAGAGAGTGGAAGAACCAAAGACGTTCCTTCCCAGTATTGCGGAGATCAATGCCATGTCCGATGAAGAGAAAACGGACCGTTTTCATTGGTTCTTTTCAGTTTTCGTGATGGTCTATGTTTGTTTTGTTTTCCTTGGATCAGGCATCATGATTGGAGGGGCCCAGTTGAAAGCACGTGGCGACTATCAGGCTCTCGGCCAGACAGCCCCGCTGAGCAAAAAGTCTCAAATTCTGCTGGTCACGGTAAGCTTGATAGTCACCATTTTCTTGAGTTTCGCCGCCTCCATTTGGAGCCTTCAAACCGGAAGGCTTTCAAAAAAGCTGGGACTGGATTGGGAGGTTTATTTGTTCCTTTTTTGTTGTGGTTGTTTGTCACTTCTGATCCAATCCGTAGTGGCGGTGGCCTGGATCCAGGCCGGGGATCGCTTTGATGCCACAGCTTTCGCCATGGCCTCGATGTCCGTTTTGCCTGTGGTCTCCGACCAGTTTGATACGCTCAAAGACATCATTTTCGGGGCCCTTTGTTTTCAGTCCGATCACTGGGCAATGAAGGTCCTGGGCGTCTTGAGCTGGCTGTACCTCCTGGCGTTCCATGCCTGGTTTATTTTTTGTGGAGTAAAGTTCGGATTGGATGGTGCAAACCCGGAGGGCGTACCGGGCGCGAACTGTTTTAGTGAACTGGCTACCAGCCACCTGGCCGTCCTTCTCACGCCGCCCAAGGTGGACGGAGAGTCACCCGCAGGGTTTTGGGAAGGAACAATCCTCCCAATGCTGTATAAACAGCTGACCCCGAGCAAGCGGGAGTATTTGCTAATTGAAAATCTGCCGCAGGCAGTGCTTTCTCTTCTCTTTTTGTTTTTTGAAGGAGGGTCCATGTTTATCGTGGTTCTTAACTTAGCAGTGCCTGCTATGCAGATAGGTCTCACGTTCCTCCTCTTTAAGCCCGTGCGCGCGGCGGCTGCTCCTGCTCTGGGCAAGGCTCTCAACAGAGCGGTCCACAATGGAAACTGGATCGCAGCCAAGACCATCTGGCTGGAGGCCGGGTCTGTTGGGGCTTGATTCATGCCAGAGCAGTCTCAGGCCATGTCGCCACTTTTGGAAAGTGCATGTCCCAGGAGGGTTGCAGTATTGATTGCTGGTTCACTCAGTATTCCTCAGTTCACCATCTACGATGCAATAGAGTTTGCTGAACCACATTATGATCATTGTGTTCGACTGTGTTTGAACATGTTCCAGCCAGAAGCTTTGAGAACCTTTCGCTTGCTGACAAATTCTTCACAACCATTTCCACAGGTTTGATTTCAAATCATATTTGGCCAAGTGGAGACAGGATTTGGCAGGTTTGCAGGTTTGTTCTCTGGGGGATCTGCTTGTTCTTCTCATGCCGATCTAGATGCTGTGAAATAAACCCGTAGAGACTGTTTTTGGAACCCTGGAGTCACATCAGACGAGGACATGCCACCAAAGGGGCATGTGCTGGCACGCATTGCCATGTACGCTCGGGCTTTGTGAATATCATTGTTTTGTGTTTGCATGGTTCTAGACAGTTTGGCATGCGAATCATTCGCACATCTGTGCCCCGGCTAAAATCACGGAGCTGTTAATGAAGCAGAGTGCATGAGAAGACTTCATACCAGGTGGATACTATCTCTGGATTTCCGACCACAAGAGATCCGCTCCCCGAAACATGAATTCCACTCTTAATTCCCTTGGCAAATGTCCTTACTTGTGGCAAGGTCACACGCCACAATGCCCCTCCTTGTTGACCCTGTGTGCCGGGTCGGGTCCTCTCGGTGTAAGTGTCTCCATCATATTCAGTAGACAACTGCCCACAGTAGCAGCATACGCTTCTTCAAAGAAAGGTTTGAACAACCTGCTTTATAGATCTTTACAGAAAATGAATCTGCAATCTGCGATGTGCCATATCTTGAGTTGATCACCTCTTGTAGTTTGATAAAGAGGGTCGATGTTTATTTGTCAGAACCTAATGAGTTCACTGCGATGCAGAACCTGTCTCACTTCCTCCTGATGGTGTCAATCAAACTTGCTCCTGCTCTGGCATGAGGCTCTTCAACAGAGTCGGTCCAAGCTCGTGGAAACTGGATCGCAGCCAAGACCATCTGGCTGGAGGCCGGGTCTGTTGGGGCTTGATTCATGCCAGAGCAGTCTCAGGCCATGTCGCCACTTTTGGAAAGTGCATGTCCCAGGAGGGTTGCAGTATTGATTGCTGGTTCACTCAGTATTCCTCAGTTCACCATCTACGATGCAATAGAGTTTGCTGAACCACATTATGATCATTGTGTTCGACTGTGTTTGAACATGTTCCAGCCAGAAGCTTTGAGAACCTTTCGCTTGCTGAAAATTCTTCACAACCATTTCCACAGGTTTGATTTCAAATCATATTTGGCCAAGTGGAGACAGGATTTGGCAGGTTTGCAGGTTTGTTCTCTGGGGGATCTGCTTGTTCTTCTCATGCCGATCTAGATGCTGTGAAATAAACCCGTAGAGACTGTTTTTGGAACCCTGGAGTCACATCAGACGAGGACATGCCACCAAAGGGGCATGTGCTGCACGCATTGCCATGTACGCTCGGGCTTTGTGAATATCATTGTTTTGTGTTTGCATGGTTCTAGACAGTTTGGCATGCGAATCATTCGCACATCTGTGCCCCGGCTAAAATCACGGAGCTGTTAATGAAGCAGAGTGCATGAGAAGACTTCATACCAGGTGGATACTATCTCTGGATTTCCGACCACAAGAGATCCGCTCCCCGAAACATGAATTCCACTCTTAATTCCCTTGGCAAATGTCCTTACTTGTGGCAAGGTCACACGCCACAATGCCCCTCCTTGTTGACCCTGTGTGCCGGGTCGGGTCCTCTCGGTGTAAGTGTCTCCATCATATTCAGTAGACAACTGCCCACAGTAGCAGCATACGCTTCTTCAAAGAAAGGTTTGAACAACCTGCTTTATAGATCTTTACAGAAAATGAATCTGCAATCTGCGATGTGCCATATCTTGAGTTGATCACCTCTTGTAGTTTGATAAAGCCTAGAGATACATATTTCAGAACCTAATGAGTTCAGCGACTTGCGAACCAAACTCCTTCCATGATGGTGTCAATCAAACTTCCGGTCTCGGCATGAGATTCTGTGTCATGTCCTATTCGTTAAGCTCGTGCCCTTGCTTCTTGCCAGACCTGCACAGGCAGAAGTTGGAGAAGACATTCAGGTTTTCCAGCGGATGATGCCGCATCTTCGGTTCCTGCTGGAGCACTGCAACTTCCAGGACCCAATTCTCTGAGACACCCATGCTGCATGCTTCAGGAATCGGATGGACTCTTGGAACTGGGACACAGAAGCGTTGCACATTTCGAGATTTTGGCGTTTTTGAACGTGTGACGGAGCTGCCTTGCCAGTTGTGAAAGCTTCAAGTTGAAGAGTCCCATCGATTCTCTTTTCAAATTCGCATGTCAGCGACAGATATCTGCAAAAAAAGATATTGAATCCATATCTGGGACATTCCGGATATTTGCAATTGGAATTTTTGATAATGTATGAGTTGCGATTTGCATAGGATGGATCCCAGCGCAGGAGCTCGACAAGCTCAGTGAGGGGGAGCTCAAAGCCTGGCAGCGCATTGCTGAGATGTTGGCGCTCGGGGAGGCCAGCGGGGCAGGGGGCCAGGGAGTCGATGTGTCCGAAGCACCGTGGGATAGCAGCTGTCCGGGATCTTTGGAGGGGACAATGGTGCCCAGTCGGAGCGTCTCACGGGGTCCAGGGGCCTTTCCTTTGGGGCCCAGCTCGAAGGCCAAGTACTGCAATCTCCAAAACCGGAAGATCGGCAATTCTGGCGCCAAGGTGCCAAGCCGCGGGAGGTGGTGAGAGCCTGGTGATTTCATCACTGGGAGATTTTGGAGGATTTATTCATGGAACGCTCAATACCGTAATACCATCATGGGTGGATATCGGTGGCATGATTTGAAAGTGGATATTGAATGATTATGCATTATCGATTCGTACCCAGACAGAGTCATGTGTGCACAATTCTGGGATTCTATCCAACTAAGAAGCGAATCAGTATGCTAAGGCATGTAAAGGCTATGTATTGCTGCATTGGCCTTTTCCAAATCCGATCGGTGCGCCCCATACCTTCCATGAGGTGATTTAGATGTATGAATTAGTTATGACTAGTTATGATCATTATAGTTATCATTATAGTTATAATTAGTTAGTTGTAAGTTATAATTATATATAATAGTTGGTGTCGTTGGATCGTAGATCGCAACGCCACTGATAACGGTTCCCACCTGAATGGTTCAAGGTCCTCCTTGATCACCAGAAAGTAGTTGATGTTCAACCAAAGTAAAGTCGTTCCAACAGTGTTGTCCACAACACCAAAAATGTATATCTATCCAACCAAATCCCAAAAGAGTCCACTCTTCACCTTCCAACCAATCCTATGGCGGCACTCGAGATTTTTCCCCTATCTCGCTGAAATTGGCCTTGAGCCACGAGTCAAAAGGCACATGATGAATGTGCTTTCCCCTGACAGGAAACAATCGAAGGTGTATTCGGCAGCAGCAAGTTACAAAACTCACACTGGTCTCTTTTCTATGTTCGATTGTTTCACCCATGTGACACCATATTTTCGATTCGAGTTCTGTTTGAGGGTCATTTCTTCATCGTAGATTCTGAATCTTCCCAACTGCAAAACGGTGCGTAAGAAGGTTGAGTCCATGGACTTCGTTAGGCAGTCTGCCAACATGATAGCAGTGCTGATCCAGCGGCATTGGGTATGGTTAGCTGATTGTTCCTTCAGCAACATGACTTCTATGGTGGTACGCCACTCCTGGCAATTTGGCACTGCAGTCTTAGTGACTAAGTCATATAAGGATTTACAATCAGTGATCATTAACCCTGGTGGTTCTACACAAAGAGACTTTTCAGGTTTATGCCAAGCAAAAGAGGGATCCTTTATGTAACCCCACATGCATCTAATCCACGTTAACTTATCTAGTGAACTGGACATAGCGTATGCTTCGGCACTCAAAGTAGAACGAACCACCCTACCAATCTGTTTGGTATGCCATGCAACTGGAGAGAAGTCTGTCGTCTCATTGTTTGCTAGTTTCCGTGTGCATGCCATGATAAAAATCCCTTGCTGGGCTGACATCTGTTTGGCCGAAGCGAAGCTTGCGTCACCAAAGCTTGCGAAACAGAGCTCCGTCATGGGGATCGGACGTACGATCACAGAGGTGTTGGCAAACTCTTGGGTTTCTTTGAGTACCCGATTTGCATCTAGCAGAGTTTGCACGGTCGCCTTGGTAATACCCTTCTGCAGGTGCGCAACTTTTGCGGCCACATCGGGCCGGGAATGCACTGCGGCGTATTGTAGGCTCCCGCAAATCCCCCTTAGTTTATTTAACTCCTGTGGAGTGATAGGGCTATCAACTTCTGCTCTACGGGGTTTAGGGATGTCTATGGGAGTTATTCTTTGGACATATTTTTCTTGGCTCACTTTGATAGAAAAATCCGGCAACTGTTCTATTTCAAGTCCTGTGAAACGGAATTTGCGTTTTTCATGTGAGCCGAAAGGAAGCTTTTTCTGAAGTTGTTGCAGGGCATAGCTAAATTTGTGGTTACCTGCCCCCAAACCGTCATCCACATGAGTACCCACTATCCCATTGAGGATCTTTGGATCTTTGGGGTCTCTTAACAAGTACAAACAATTGTCCAAGGGATGTGCGGTGAAACCTACTTCTTCTAAGCATTTCCGAAATTCGCGATAGAATAACAAAGGGGCATCTACCCGTCCATAAGCATTTCCTTCTAGTAGGCAGATCTGATGTTTTTCCATTCCAAGCAGTTCTCTCAACTCCTTTGGGGGTTCCATTGCTAGTTGACGATCATCGGATTTCCCTCGTAAAAAGGCAGTAGTGATATCAAAGCTTTCAATACACCATTTGTGGCTGGCAGCTGTCTGGAGTAATAACATCCTACCATCTCGGGTGAGAGTGGGACTGTCGGATGCTAATTCCCCAATGTCGGGGTCCTGAAAACCTTTTACCACAAGTCGTGCTTTTGGTTTCTTTCCATCTTCGCTATTTTCATCTTCCTTCCAAGTCAGTATCCATCTAGAGGCTAAAACTCTGGAGGGGTGAATTTTATCCCGAACTATGGTTCTTACCGTTTGAGTATCCAACCAACAATTCAATTCCTTCAACTTGGCTTGCTTGAACCTCTCTCTCTCTTGGGGTGTTAAGTCACTGTAAACAAGTTCTTTCCCAAACTTGTGGGCTGCGGCATTGACCTCTGGCAGGTGCTCTTTGGGAGATTTGAGGAACTTATGGAATTGTTGTTTTGGCATTTCAAACTCAAAAGACACACACGCTGCTTCGCAAGGGTCGGGCATTGACCAAAGAGCGCCATCGTCATGAACACAGTCTGTCGTCTCGGTATTCTTCTCGATGATAACAGCATTATACACAGGTTCCATGTTACTCGGAGTTTCATTTTCCGATTGATCTGTGTCCAATGATGCAGTGTCAGGAGCAGATTGTGCCAGGCTCGGGCTTGGAACCATTGATTCAGGGCTTTCTTCACTATTGGAAGAAAACGGGGAGTCTGGAACAGGCGTTTCGACCGCAGGGTCGTGCATGGTTTCGTCAGGAATTTCGATCTCACCTCGTTGGCGTCTGATTGGTTCTTCCTCTGGTTGTCGAGAGGTCGAAAGTTCGCTATTGCCATCGTTTGCCTCTTCTTCTGTTGGAGGATTCACCTCAGATAAATCGGAGTATTGAAACATGCCACTCTTTTCTTTCAACTGTGTCTGTAAACGTTGTGCCATTTGTTTCAATTCTTCTTGGGTATTTGAAGTTGTAAAAGTGGAGTGTCTTTGAAATTCACGCATGGAAACTGGTCTGAGATTTTCATGGGCACATCTTAACAACCGATTCATGTGAGTGATCCATATGATTGTTCTTGATTCCTGGCAAACTACCTGTGCTGGACCACACCATCGTCCTTTCTCCAATATGTTCGGGGCTTTTCGTTTATCCCAAAACATGCACAACTGTCCACACAGCCATTCAGGTATCACACCTCGTGACCTATGTAGGGCTGCTCTGCGAATTGCAGCATGATTGTCAGCATGCCAGAAAGCTGCTCTTGCGGCTGTCCGCAATTCAAGACTTCGCTTAAACTGCTCGGATGCTGGGTCGGGTGAAAGGCACATGTGATGAGCAGTTGATTCTTCGTCTGAGAGTAGTGATCCAGGAAGTTTAGAGGCCTTACCTAGTACAGCTTGTTCTGGACTATATCCGTTATTCACTATCATAGAATTTTTCGCTCGGAAACACTGGTTAAGAGCCTCATCTATTTCAGCTAGACTGTTGAAGTTCTGTGCATGGTCCATTCTTTCAAGCATTTCCTTGATCACACCTCCATGCCTCTCGATACGACCACGTTGCCATGGAGCGGCAGTGAGCACTGGCTGAATGCTGTGGGCTTGCAAAAAATCTTTCCATGGCTGGGATACAAACTCTCCACCTTGATCATGTAGTATTTCCTGTGGGGATCCTGCCCATTGAATCCACATCTGTTTCGTTGTACGGATGGAGGCTTGGATATCCCGGGTTATCCTTTGACCTAAATGGAAACGGGTAGCATCATCTAGGATATGGAACACATAGATTTGAATACCCCTTTTACTACACCAGTCAAAACCATCCAAAAGAATTCTTTCATTAAAATCCTTCGGGTCTTTGAGTTGGCCGGGAGTAGTCTTTTGTGGTGGGTGTCTCTCAGCACATGACGGACACACGAAGTCGGCAGCACCTTCCACCAGGTGTTCATGTGCTTTGGATTCCTTTAGATGTCGGGCCAGTCTTTCGGCTGTGGGGTGTCCTAGATTATTATGAATCTTGCGCAACATGGACTGTTGCTCTCGAGTAAGTTTCAGGAAATTTGGGCCTGAAACAGTGGCACTTAAAGGAGTCCAGCTGGGCACATCTACCTGCACTGGTGGACTGGCTGTTGATTCAGCGGCTTTTGTCTCAATTGATCTATTGGCGGGATCGGCTGCTGGCATTATAGGTGTATCAGGTCGGCTGTCATCTCTGGAAAACAAACACAACATGATATGGCTCGGCACCTCTTTTCGACAAGCTCTTTTCCGAGTTAATTCACTCCAAACTTCAAGTCCTAGGTCAATTATTTCATGAGTGAATCTTTTCTGTACTATGCTATGTCTTTTCGGCAGCTGATCTCTCCAAGCCTCTTCGCCCAACAAAAGACGATCTAGGCCTTTTCCTGCTTTGACTGCACCAATGTTCTCATGTGGAAACAGTTTCTGAATTTCCTGGAAGACTTCATCTTGCGGGTCTTCCCAAGTGACAACACCTGATTTGGGAAGTTTTCTCTGTAGAAATTCAAACATTGGTTTCCACACGTTCGTGGTGTCGTGTGGTGCAGAGGCTTCACCAGAGTTGGTACGTGCCCTTTTGGCAGGCGGCTCTATTTCATCTACATGGCAAATTGGCGCCTCATAGGGGCCTTGGGATGTTTGCATGATTCCACGGACAATGGTCAGTGCAAGCTTGCGTGGATAGAAAGCAGCAAACCTGGACACGGAAATGCTATGGCCCTTCCACTGACATCTTCCTGCTATGGTACTATGGCTATGTTCACGATTGCAAACACGGCAGTCCAAAACAGAAAACATTTCAACTGAGGTGGTTTGTATGCGAGTGGATTTTCTCATCAACTGATTTTCACTCGGATGTCTCAGGCCAAAAGCACATTGGTCCAGCTGGGCCGGAATGGAACGCTTCAAAAACGGCTGTATCTCCTGCTGCTTCCAAACTCCGGAGGTTTTGGGGCTTTCGAGATGGGTGTGTCGACCCTCATCATGCTGAATCTGAGCTACCACATTACACAATACCAAGTGTTCTTTGGCAAGACGCTGTTGGTGCATGACTTGTTCATACCTAGAAAGGCTTCGCATGGAATTAAAGCGGTTCCAGGCACACCAAGGACCACATTCCGGGGCAAGCCAAATATGTTTTGGTCTCTGTGTCTTGATGATGTGAAACAAAGCTCTTCTTCCAGTAGATGTCGATAAATCCCCATCTTCATATGTAAACCTCCTTGCTCGCAAACCATGTTCTTGTGCCACAGTGGTCAACATGCTGTTAGGGAACGCATACACTTCTAGGATGTCCAACTGTTCTGACTTGTGAAAGCTCTTTCCACATTCTGGCTGTTGCATCTCAGTCCACAGTTGTCTTTCTTTAAAACTAGATTTATGTGACATCCTAGAATCTTGAAATCCCTCCCAAATGCCTCTCATGGAACCGGGTTGTTGGCCAATTGCTCCAGTTGATTGCGAGCTCGGGCATAGCTTGCGAAATCCGCCACATCCTCGGAAAGGTTGTCGGCTCTGGCCAAGATCCACTTGATGTAACCTGGGTCGGACTCGTACACATGGGCGTAACGAGCCCTCAGGTGCTTTTTGCCAAAGCCCACGATCTTGTTTCCCCAGCTTTCGAGGGATGCTTGAGTCACCATCAATTGGCTTCCAATCTCGGAAGCTGCGTAAGACGATCCTGGGCTTACCCATCATTGCAGCTGGTGGTCGGGCACTTGGTGTCATTGACACGTGCGGCATGGGCTGTCTCACTGGCATTGGAGGAGGCTGATTGTTGGGAGCTCTGACATTCATCATCACAGCAGGCATCGATTGGGAAGAATTTGGCACCGTTGATGCAGCTTGGCCTTGTGACGGCACCATCTCGGCTTCCCATTCGAAATCTTCTGATCGAGGAACATGGTTCACCGGGCTCACGGTAGGTCCTGGACATGTGGGTGGCTTCTGTTGGAACTGAGCTTGAATCAGATTCCCCAACTGGTCGATCGTCCGACGTTGCTGGGCCACTTCGTGAATCAACTGATTCACAGGGTTCATCTGGAGCTCCGTGGCTTCTTGGTTCGGATCGATCGCACTGGTCATGGTGAACACAATGGTCATCAGGAGCTTCAGACTGGCTAACACTTCCTCTGCCACTGTGCGAAGAGCATTGAGCACTTCCTGGCGTGTCGGCATGACTGACAGGAATTTCACTTTCCAGACCTGGAGGCGGGGCACAGACACTTGATGCGACAAAAGCTGCTGCATTGGACTTGACATCAGGTTGACAAAGATCGGACATGTCAATCATGAACAGCCCATTCTTGTTTTCTTTCAAATGCAGTGACCTTTGCAGTGTCTTGAGGAAACATGTATTTTGTCCTAGGTCTATCATAGCTCCTAAGCTCTTCATGGTCTTAATTGACAGCAGGAAAGGTGTGGCTTTCGGCACTACTTCAATTAGCAACCAGATTCGGATTCTCTTGTGGACCAATGGTATGCGCAGCTGTTTGTAGCTATATGCAACTTGGTTATTTCCAAAACGGAATCCTACTCTACTGACTGGGCTTTTCCACGACTTGGTCACGGACACTGGCTGGCAGTTTTTGGAGCATCGCGGGGACATGGTCTTGTCCGATCACACTGCGACTGGCACCTGTGTCCAGTATATATGGCCATTCCTTGACTTTGCATGGCATCTGAGTGATTCTGGCTGACAAAACCATCGGCTCTATTGGTTGGTCTCGGATGCATCTTCCTGGCGGCACGGGTGTTGGGTGCTGAGGTCACCACTGCTGGTTTCAGGCTGTTTTCTGGACCACTGTTTTTGGTTCCCCCTTTATCCCCAATTACCCCTTTATTACCCCGCTTATACCCCGGCTTATTCAGTTTCTTACCCCAAAAGGCTTTCACGTCTTCAACATTTTGTTTGCACAAAACTGAATTTCGGTGGCATGAGGCAACGAAACAGGTTTCACAACGGATGCACTCCTGTTCACTCAACGCTTCAAAGACCACTTGGTTGGTCTCCTCTTCGGCATCGGATGCTTCGGATGGCATGGAGAAGGCAACGTTGGCGGACTCACGGGCTTCTTTCCTCTGAGGGCATTCTGCACGCCAATGCCCAAGGGCACCGCAAAGCTTGCAATGCGTTTTCGCAATGCGAGCCAGCAACTCTTCTTTTCCAGACTTTCCACCACCTTTGCGGTATGGCCGGGATCCATCTTTGAACCCACCTTTCCCTTTTCCTTTTCCAGTGGGCCAAAACCCTCGGCTACGACGGCGATCATTGATCCTCTGCCTAGCCTCATTGTATGAGACCATTGCTTGTTGCATATCAGGAATCTCTTGCAGCATCTCTTCGAAATCACGCTCAAACTGTTGCACTACGTTGGCATCCTCATCTCCCTGAGACACTAGGTATTCCAGATGCTCGGTTGTCAAAACATCCTCTTCCTCATGGTATGCAACGTAAGTGCTCTGAACCGGAAGGCTTTCATCAGATTGGGCAGGTGGCTCTTCCACCTCTGTGAAATTGATTGGGTAAATCTTTTTCTTGGTTTCACCAGGGCCCATCAACACACGTGTGGACAACGACCTCATGGCTTGGTCAACTGCGGTCAGATCCAGCTTACCACCTGTCATCGTCAGGATTTTCTTTTCTTCAGACGACAAACCTGACTGTCTCAACATCACGAAGGCTTGCATTTGTTTGACAGTGACATCATCACCTATCTCATTGAATGCAGCTTGAAGGCGAAGTGAGAAACTATGGGAGGCCTCATCAGACTTCTGTACTACCTTGTAGAGTGCTCGTTCAAACAGTTCATACGTTTTCATCTCTGATGTTTCTTCCCAAGCTGACAAAGCGGCCAACAAGTATTCAACACCTGAGTCGGCCTTGGTGAGCTTCTTCGGATCTAACTGACGCACCTGGGACCAAGCTGTCCCTTTACACAACATAGCTAACCTGGGAGCTAAGTTGGGCTTGTCCTTCTCGGGCATGACACCGTGGATGAACCTGGCTTTCTGTGAAAACTCTCGTATGTCATCTTCACTCGGGTCAAAACTGGGCAGCAAATTCCAAAAATTGGAACCCTGCTGGGAGTCACCGTTCCCATCAGTTGAGGCAGACTCTTTAGGAGGCATTGCTCACTATCCAGAAGCCACCAAACTAGCGGGCCGGCTTTGCGTGCAAGTAGCACGAGCCTCTAGGCTCCGCTACCAGTGTCGTTGGATCGTAGATCGCAACGCCACTGATAACGGTTCCCACCTGAATGGTTCAAGGTCCTCCTTGATCACCAGAAAGTAGTTGATGTTCAACCAAAGTAAAGTCGTTCCAACAGTGTTGTCCACAACACCAAAAATGTATATCTATCCAACCAAATCCCAAAAGAGTCCACTCTTCACCTTCCAACCAATCCTATGGCGGCACTCGAGATTTTTCCCCTATCTCGCTGAAATTGGCCTTGAGCCACGAGTCAAAAGGCACATGATGAATGTGCTTTCCCCTGACAGGAAACAATCGAAGATGTATTCGGCAAACTTTTGAACCAGTGTGTCGCAGGGGGAAATGTTTGGGGGTTGTTAGTTATACGATACGAACGGCACTGGGGGGCGCTGTCTCGCGCCTTTCTCGGAGCTGCAGGTGGTGGCGGAGGCCATGAAGCACACCACGACAGAGGAGCTTAACCTCGACAGCAGCGAGATCGGAGCCGACGGCGCCGAGGCACCGCTGCACCGGAAGAGTCCCGAAGACTCGGGAAGGGATGGGATGAATTTCCCACCGAAACCTTGGGAGGTGCCGTGGAGTTCCGTGCCGAAGCGGCGAATCTTGAAAATTTTGAAAGTTCAGGATTCAGATGGGATGTATTCAATAAGATCACCCAGTATCTGAGCTGTTCGAATCTTTTCAGTTTGTGGAAATGTTTGAAATCATCGGCTTCGCCGTCCAGCCAGACGCTGGTCAACAGAACATATTTCTTTGGCACGGTGTTTTTTTGTTTTGATTTGCTTCTGCACGACATTGCACGTCAGCAGGCTTACTAGCTCCGTTGTGTGCGCGTGCCCGTTGTTGCACGTCTCCGGGATGGTCTGAATAAGAACTTAGGTGAGATTTTGAATGTAATGAAAATGCGATGTGGTGAGAAGCTGTGCCACTGTAAAGTTTGGCAACCATGCGTTGAGCAACTGCATACGCTCTCCTTTGGTCATTCACAGAGCCAAAGAACAGAGCAAGTGCCAGATTGTGTTCCGCGTGTGCAAATCAGGCAAATCTGTGTGGAACAAACCAAGCCGCTTTCTCAGCGATTGTACATGTGAGATTCCGTCTTTGTGTTGGCATTTTTCCCCAACGGCGTAAGCTAATGGGGTCTTCAGCCCAGAATAGCTCCGGTGTGCACTGGTGCAGGCGCCGGGTCAGGTTCAACGAGGTTCCGGAGAAGGTTCCGAAAGTTCCGGAGAAGGTCAGGGAGGCTTTGGTGCAGAGCCAGGTCAGGTTCAACAGGGTTCCGGAGAAGGTTCCGGAGAAGGTTCCGGAGAAGGTCTGGGAGGCTTTGGTGCAGAGCCAGGTCAGGTTCAACAGGGTTCCGGAGAAGGTTCTGGAGAAGGTGTGGGAGGCTTTGGTGCAGAGCCACGTTAGGTTCAACAGGGTTCCGGACAAGGTTCCTGAGAAGGTTCAACCGGGTTCCAGAGAAGGTTCTGGAGAAGGTTCTGGAGAAAGTTGCGGGAGGCTTTGGTGCAGGGCCAGGTAAGGTTCAACAGGGCTCCGGGTTCCGGAGAAGGTTCCGGAGAAGGTGCGGGAGGCTTTGGTGCAGAGCCACGTTAGGTTCAACAGGGTTCGGGAGAAGGTTCCTGAGAAGGTTCAACCGGGTTCCAAGAAAGGTTCTGGAGAAGGTTCCGGGAGGCTTTGGTGCAGAGCCAGGCAAGGTTCAACAGGGCTCCGGAGAAGGTTCTGGAGAAGGTGTGGGAGGCTTTGGTGCAGAGCCACGTTAGGTTCAACAGGTTCGGGAGAAGATTCCTGAGAAGGTTCAACCGGGTTCCAGAGAAGGTTCTGGAGAAGGTTCTTGAGGTGTGGGAGGCTTTGGTGCAAAGCCAAGTCAGGTTCAACAGGGTTCCGGAGAAGGTTCTGGAGAAGGTGTGGGAGGCTTTGGTGCAGAGCCACGTTAGGTTCAACAGGGTTCCGGAGAAGGCCTGAGAAGGTTCAACCGGGTTCTGGAGAAGGTTCTGGAGAAGGTTCCGGGAGGCTTTGGTAGAGCCAGGTAAAATTCAACAGGGCTCCCGAGAAGGTTCTGGAGAAGGTGTGGGAGGCTTTGGTGCAGAGCCAGGTCAGGTTCAACAGAGTTCTGGAGAAGGTTCTGGAGAAGGTGTGGGAGGCTTTGATGCAAAGCCAAGTCAGGTTCAACAGGGTTCCGGAGAAGGTTCTGGAGAAGGTGTGGGAGGCTTTGGTGCAAAGCCAAGTCAGGTTCAACAGGGTTCCGGAGAAAGTTCTGGAGAAGGTGTGGGAGGCTTTGGTGCAAAGCCAAGTCAGGTTGAACAGGGTTCCGGAGAAGGCTCCGGAGAAGGCGTGGGAGGCTTTGGTGCAAAGCCAAGTCAGGTTCAACAGGGTTCCGGAGAAGGTTCTGGAGAAGGCGTGGGAGGCTTTGGTGCAAAGCCAAGTCAAGTTCAACAGGGTTCCGGAGAAGGTTCCGGAGAAGGTGTGGGAGGGGTTGGTACAGAGCCAGGTCAGGGTCAACAGGGTTCCGCAGAAGGTTCTGGAGAAGGTGTGGGAGGCTTTGGTGCAGAGCCACGTTAGGTTCAACAGGGTTCCGGAGAAGGTTCCTGAGAAGGTTCAACCGGGTTCCAGAGAAGGTTCTGGAGCTTGAGGTGTGGGAGGCTTTGGTGCAAAGCCAACTCAGGTTCAACAGGGTTCCGGAGAAGGTTCCGGAGAAGGTGTGGGAGGCTTGGTGCAAAGCCAAGTCAGGTTCAACAGGGTTCCGGAGAAGGTTCTGGAGAAGGTGTCGGAGGCTTTGATGCAAAGCCAAGTCAGGTTCAACAGGGTTCCGGAGAAGGCGTGGGAGGCTTTGGTGCAAAGCCAAGTCAGGTTCAACAGGGTTCCGGAGAAGGTTCCGGAGAAGGTGTGGGAGGCGTTGGTGCAGAGCCAAGTCAGGTTCCACAGGGTTCGGAGAAGGTTCTGGAGAAGGTGTGGGAGGCTTTGTTGCAAAGCCAAGTCAGGTTCAAAAGGGTTCCGGAAAAGGTTCCGGAGAAGGTGTGGGAGGGGTTGGTGCAGAGCCAGGTCAGGGTCAACAGGGTTCCGGAGAAGGTTCCGGAGAAGATGTGGGAGGCTTTGGTGCAGAGCCACGTTAGGTTCAAGAGGGTTCCGGAGAAGGTTCCGGATAAGGTTCCGGAGAAGGTTCCGGAGGTCTGGGAGGCTTTGGTGCAAAGCCAGGCCAGGTTCAACAGGATTTGCGGCCATTAAATCACGGAAACGCAGGTGGGGTGTTTCCAGCGCTTGGCTTTGCAGCACGCTTCAGAAAGTTTTTTTCAACAATAAAACATCGCGGCGGTTGGGGATACCACTGAGGCTTATTTTTGACAGACTTTTTGGAAGTGATTGTTCTTTCCACATGGCGATTCATCCGCTTGCTTGATGTTGGTTTGCCAACATTGGTCTTTCCTCCCACATAGTGACCCCACATCCCATGATTTGAGCTGATTTATTTACAACACCAGCTTTCTGTACAAGGCAAACATAGGTAAATGGGATTTGATTCCTTGAACAAGTGTGGTCTCTCTTGCGCATTCTCTTTAGTCCAGCATCTCTTTGAAATGAGCACAGTAGTACCTTCAAAGAGAGCTTTGTCATGAGCAATCTTACTTTGAAAGGGTGGATCCACGCATTGAAAGGGGGAAACACTGTTTCAAAATTAATGACTTTATGATTCTATGCCCGGCATTCCTGGCAGACCATGTGTATAAAATGTTGTGCAATGTTTACTTCAAATGATCTTCAAATGCGTAGAACTTCTCAAAAAGGCTGCATTTTGTTGACAATGAAACATTGTTTGAACATAGACCCTTTTATGTATGATATCTGGACTAAAGCGTGATATAAGTGTGTGCAATATCTCCTTGAAAAGAGTTCCGCACCTCTTTGAAAAGAGTGCAATACTTTCTGAAGATTATGGAACATTTCTAGATATGTTGATTCCTTGACTTGCGGCCCCTGCATTGGGATGAGAATTCTGGCATAGACTTTCGACCTGCTGTCGCACTGGCAGCGAAATGAATTCAGAAGGCACCAAAGGATTTGCACTGTGATTTTTGAACAACATTGTTTATGCGGCAATTTCACGGGCTTAGTGCATCCCCCTCTTAAGATCTGATCTAGACTAGCAGATGCTGTGGGCCTGTGATACTTCACACATTTTCACACCTTCCTAGTGACACGCGAAGAGCACAAACGTTCGACATATTTTGAACATGTCCTGGGTCCTATGATTATGGAGGATTTAAAGGGAGTGGTTTGGCATGGTCTGGTCAGAAGCTGTGCCACCGCACAATTCAAATACTGTGCCACCGCACAAGCCAGGTCGTTTTCTCCCGGTGAACGCATGTTGGAAATTAAACACATTTCTTTTTTGCCGACCTGCCTGTGAAAGATTTCCAATTGATTCCCATTCACTTGATGCTGGTTTGGGACGAGCCCCACCTGTAGATTTCCCCCGGATTTGTTCCTGTGCCTTGGCCGTAGAAAAAGGGAGTCCATCCCGATGCTGTTGCCCCGAGACGGCCAGGCCTTGGGAGAAGGGCTCAAAGAAAACCGCAGTTTGCAGAGGCTTTACCTCTACAACAACAGCATCGGCGATGCCGGTGCTAAGGCGCCCGGCTGGGGGGATGTCCAAGGGGTTGGATGGTGAAGTTTGTGAGGAAAAAAGGAAGCGTGTGGGAGACGTTGTAGGCCCGTGTGTCTTGGTGCCTTCCTGGTGAGATATGTGTGGCTACTTGAATGTCATTGAAACGATTTGAATTCTTTCACAACTGGAAACATTTGCGCTGGATGGTTTAGTCACAAGTGATGCCTGCAGTTTCTGCACTTCTTGCACAACGTAAACGTAAAAGCAAGCAGAGACGTTTTGAGTCATAACATAACTGCTAGCTTCTTTTTTCGCACAGAAGAAGATACAGTGCACGCGGTTGAGGCAGACCCAGACCCACGTGCCCCGGATTAATAAACACTGGTTCATTAATTAGGGGGGTACCCCGTGGCAGGGAATGATTGGGATAATACGGTATAGCCTTTCTAAACACTATGCAAGATCACATGAGCGACCAGACTCATTTCGTCCATCTAGTTACATATTGAAGAAATTGAGCCCGCGGCTATCTTCAAACCAAGTAGTTGTTTATCTCTCATTTGTCTCGCGGTTGATTCCCTACTCGAGGCTAGTTTGGGGCGATGTGTCTCACTTGTCTCTGCCTGTACCTTTCTTGACCCGCAAAGGGGAAGATCATACATTTGAAAAACTGTATGCCACAGAGTGGAAGGGAACAGGTGTCACAGATCATATAGTAGTATCCCCGGTGTGCATGCCTGAAATTCAGGTGATGCAGCAGGTTTTCTGCAGCGGATTTTGGGTAGTTGGAGATTGATTGCGGTCGCTGATTTCTAGCTTCTTTAAAGCAACATTGTAATATATTTCAAAAGGCAACATGGTATTGTAATATACCGTCAGCTCAGCGGACAATGCCCCTCAAGGAATTACATGCATCTATCAATCTACACTATATACGTGTATATATATAATATACACCCATTAGCTCTGTTTTTCATCCTGTTTGACAAAAGGGCACAGTGCAACGGTGTGATCAATCCAATGGGTCGGGATGGAGTGGTATTGCTGTACACTACATCATGTATATGTTCAGATGTATTTTTGTTGAAGAAACCAACGGGGTAAGCAACCCGCCTTGTGTGAAGATGAAGGCATAGGCATACCCTCTTCGATGGAAACCAGTTTTTTCAGACAACGTCTCTGACGCTGGCCTCAGCCAGACACACTGGCGCTGGCAGCCCCAGCAACAGCACACAGATCACGACAGTTTGAAACAATGACTTGGGAATAATATAGCCAGCATGGAAATTCATGTAAACGCAAATGACCATGGCACAAGACGCAGAAATTGTTTCTCGTCAGTACATGAACCAAACCATCAACTAAAAACCAAACCAAGGCCACAAATTACTACTTGAGTGAACTTGAGAACTATTTTGTTTCTTTCCACGTTGCAAACCGAAAAGCTAAAAGTCATAACACCTATACTTCCTCAATAGCGATAGCTTTAGTTGTGTACTTGTTCACTCTTGTTTTGAGTCCGCTGTGCCGTCATTTTGGTTCCAAGCTGAACACTGCATGCAGGTAGGATCAGATTGCTTGCGGTCAACAAGTTGTTGGGAAGGGATAATCCTCCATGCAATCTACAAACAAGTGACGAAAAAGCAAACGCGACCACCTGTCAATTGAGAACATGCCCCAGGCTCTGATGTCTGATTTGTTTTTGGCCTTTGAAGGCGGATCAATTTTTGTCGCTGCTTGAATCTAGTCATACCCGACGTACAGACTTTGATGTATCCCATCCTCAAGCCATGGATCCTGATTCAGATGTCAGACCGCACATCGTGGTGAAACGGTGGCGCAAGCCTTTGTTACCTTCTGATGTGTTGCAAAGGCCTCAACTCACCCCTGTTTTTCACAGGACTCCGTCCATGCACAGAGTGGACAATTTTCAAGGACTTGGTGCAATCCGACCTTCAGTGATTCAAAAGCATGCCAGCCCATGCATTCGTCCTCCAATCCTGCCTTCCAAAGGAACGCCTGATTTTAGCCACTGTAGACCGTTGCCAGCTCCTAAATTTTGTCCATCACGAAGGTCTGAGCCTTACAGTAACCGACAGGTTAGAGCAGTGAATCAGTCAAATATGATATCTGATCAACTGCAGACTGAGACAGCTTCACAACAGAACCCGCCACATATTTTTTCACCACGATGTATTTCCAGTCGTTTCTCTACACAGCAAGCGACTCACTCCAGACAGAGGTTGATTGCTTACAAGCTTTGGGATGATCTATGTTCTCTGGTTGAACATGCCAGCCCAGTGCTTCAAGCTTTGCAACAATCCATGTTTGCCCAAAGTATGAAGATTCGCATCATAGCCAAATATGCAGAGTCCACCTTGCTCAAATATATTCCACAAGTGCTCACCTTTTGTCAATGCATGAGTGATTTGGGAGTTGAATGGGAGTCCATGTGCACAGCCAACGTTTTGGATATTTTGCTTTCTTTTCCAACCTCGAATCTGGATGCGGACAGTGACGGATTCTCATCCATGGCAGTGATGAAAGCGTTGCGATGGATCCATAACATCCTTCAATTGCCTTTCCCTGATCTTTACATTCCACCATTATCATCACTTATGGATTGCCAGCATGAGCGGAAAGAATCTCTTCCGCTACCGCTTTACATACTTCAATGGTTTGAGAAGTGCATAATTATGAACATAGGTTCCTTGCAACACAGGCTTATCCAAGGAGCAGCACTTCTTTGCGTTTGGGCAAGTTTGAGGTTCTCAGACGCGCAGCACATCAAGTGGAGCAAAGTGGTGATTGATTCCCAGTCAGTCAGGGGCATATCGTATAGGACGAAGACAAGTACTGCTGGAATGGCATTTGGAATAAATCATATGGGATTTCTGGCTGCATCAAATTCTTCCTCTCGAAGTTGGATCATTATTTGGATGATGCTTCTTGATCAGCTTTGGTCTCAGTTGCGTGCCAGTGAGGATGATTATGCATGCCCTGATTTTCTATTTGTCAACATATCTGCACAGGGAACCTTAACAGGTCCTTTATCGTACTGTCAAGCTCTCAGGCTGCTGAGAGAATGTATTGCATCAGTACCGGAATCCGGAATGTCCGCTGAGCAAATTCAAGCGTACACATTGCATAGCTGCAAAACCACGCTTCTTTCATGGTCAGCCCAACAGTCATTGCCTGCTGAAATAAGAGCATGCCAGGGACATCACACATATGTTCATAGTGTTCAATTATATAGCCGAGATGATGTGTTTCCAAGTTTACGCCTTCAGCAACACATTGCTTCTTCCCTTCTGGAAGGATGGAAACCGCAAACACCGCTTCAACGAGGATCGCAGCCTCCAATCAAAGAACCGCCTGTTCTTTTAGCACCAATGGAATTCTTCACACAACCGCAGTTTGTGAATTTCCAGTGGATTGATGATCCAGACATTTTTCAGGCTGACAATGCTACCGATGACAAACGCTCGATCCAAGCTGATCAAGAGTCAGTGGAACCGCCTGTTCTTCTGCAAAAACCTTCAGCTTCAGAGCCACAGCCTAGACCGCCTGCCAGAATTTGCTTTCTGGTACGCAAAACAACCGCACATGTTGCTGTGGCAGATTCAGATACCCCTCTCGGGTACAAACCAAAATGCGGAGCTCTCAGTTCCAATCAGTGCAAGCTTCAAGATCATATCCCTGAGGGATGTCGCTTGTGCAGACGAGCCGCATGCTTGTCCACGTTTCAACGCTACTGAGCCCTTGAAAAAGGAAAAAAGGAGAGTTGCTCTGGAATGCAACGTGTTGAACTGTCTGTGTATTGCTACTCCGGCAGGGATGCCGCTCGCATTCTAAACAGCACATTCGCGTTCACTATCTATTGAAAGCGTAATCTAGAGGCGTGCAGCGTCAGCGTCCTTTTCTCACTTATCCCTGCCGCTCTGTTTTGTGTGCTCTCCTGTCTATCTCTTCTCGCTCTCCCTTTGTCCCTCGCGACGCTTGTATCTACGCGTCCCATCCCTCGCCTAACTGTGTCCTGTCCGTACTTGTCTGCGCGCATAGTGGCATAGTGGCATTGTAGTGGCACTTTATTCTTGCGTTTGCGTTGTGGCCTCATCCCAAAGGTACCTTGTGCGAACCAATCAACCTTTATTATTTATGAAAAGAAAAATGGATCACCAATGCGTAAATACGAACTCGCGCGTCGCCTTGACGCAGTGTGACATCCCAGATGAACGAACCGTTCTTTCAATGCAATTTGGAATCACCCTCAATTTTGAGATCGTGAGTGCGCTTCATTTCTTTTTTGTTCTGCTTCAAATTGCCGTCTCAAATCCAATGCTGCGAGGTCATATCCTTAACGCTTAACATAACCTTAACGCTTAACATGTGGTTTACCCTATTGCTTCACTGTTGTGAGTGGAAAGTCAAGTGAAATTGTGCTTCCTGATGCTCTACCTTTCAGTCCTTTTTGTTAAGCACTTCTTCGCAGTTCACAGTCTATTGCAGAAGGGTCCGACTGCAAGGGCATGACGTTGACTCTTTAATGCTGTTGATTGTGCTGCACTACATTTTTTCATGTGTGCTTGACATGCAATGCTTGGTTTGCACAATTGATGTATCGATGTCATGGCGTGATGCAACTGCAATCATGCATGCGGAACCTATCCATTAGATCATTTGCATTGAAGACAACAGCAGAATCAGGAACAAGGCATTAGCAGGGTAACATGCCACTTATACACTTATAAGTGCGGGCAGAGCTTCAAAGTCTATGTTGCGTAAATCAGTATGGCTCAGAGCCTTTTCAGGTCACAGTCATCCAAGACAACTCACAGGCTTCAGCTACTTCCCCACCAAATTTCTCATTGTTTTCAACTTGGTGTTATTGCAACTCATGTTGATATCGGTGTTGTTCAACCTTAGCTGATAGTTCAATGGCTACACCTCCAAACTTGGAGACTCAACTTCGCTCGGCGAATGTTGGTGATGACTTGATCAACCTGCTGTGCGTTGAAGACAAT